CCTCACCCATTAAGATCTAGAAGTTGTAAAAGCCACAACTTTCGTGGTGTTTGTAGTTAGTAACAAGGCACGTTGACTTAATGCATCATCTACTTCATTTTTTTCGTCGAACATATATGATATTGTCACTAAGCTTGTTATGTTATATGAATTTGAGTGTAGTGCAAGTAAAGACGTTATGATAGCCATGTCGAGTGTTGCAATGAGGGCGAAATCTTTGGGTAGTGTCTTATCTACAAACCCATCTGCCTTCCAAAATTTATCCCGGAACTTATTCTGTTAAAACTCTCTCGCTCAAAAAAAAAAGAAAAGAAACGCGCGGCGGGGAGGTTGGGGCCGAATTTTCGGAGCCCACAGTTGACTTTGTTTGCTAATCATGGCCAGATATTAATGAATTTGATTATTTTTTGTTTCATTATTTATTAATTATTATTATAATACTATATTATTTACATCTGGTTATTTTCTATTCTCTGTTTGAGTAATTTTTATTTCTTTTATTCTTTTCTAGTTTAAAGTATTTTTATGTTAGCTGCCTTTTTTTTGTAATAAGTCTCTACCTTTCTTCTAATCGAAAATTTGGTGAAATGGAGTAAAATTTTTCATTCTTTTCCCTAGCTTTTCATTCTTTCATGGTATCATAGCCTAGTTTCTTCACTAAAAGGAGATGGGTGAAGATTATAGCGTTAAACAAGGATGGGGAGAAGGCTGGTTCATCTTCATCTTCACCAAGTATCAGTGTTATTCCCTTTGCATCCGTGGATCACTCCCCTCTTGAAATTACTTATATAAATCAGGTGTTGAAAATTTCTTCTAATTGTCACTTTTGGCCAGAATGATTGTATTTGGGAGAGGAAAAAATGGATATCTTGAAGGTACCTAAAGGAAATTTAAGCCAACTGATCCTCTCTATACAACTTAGGATACTAACAATTAATTAGTAATGGTTTTGCTTGGCAAATCCATGGAAGAGCATTTTGGCTCTCTATATTTGATTCGTAACATAGCAAAAGCTATGTTGGAAAAGGTGAAGATGGGTTATTCATGCCTTGAAAACACAATACAGCTTTTTGAACTAAATGTTAAGGCTTGTGATTTCAAGAAAGGGACCATGGGAATTAATGAACACTTCATAATTTTTTATGTTTTAGCAGGAATTGGAATTATTTGAGCCCATTGATTGGTGTTGAGAATATGCAATGAAAGAATATGAAACTAGGTGAAAAAACTTGAACCTATGATTTCCTTGCAGATTATAACGACCTAAATGATGTTCATGTAGGATACTTGGATCTGGCCCATTATGTCGTATTAATGTGTTTGTTCATGGCTCGGCCAAAGGCTTGAATTAATAAGATGGAAGTAGAAGGTCGAATGAATATTTAAATTTTCATCTAATATCAACATGTGTGGTTGAACAACTTCAATATATTGAAAGAACACCTAAATTATAAAATTCTCTTGTAACAGATGTAAGATAAATGTCTCTCTTGTAGTGCTATGCCTATGATAAATGGATTCTTTTCATCTACCCATTTAGCTCTTTATGACTTGTCCTGAAGACATTTGTCACAACAGTGACGAGTTATTACCAATCAATGGTTAATCATATTTCTGGATTACAGTAATATGATGGGAATTTTCAAAAATTTTATTTATGCTAACTAAAATGAATCATAATCTATATGCGATTCATTATATTAAATTATAATCATTTAATAGTTTTAAAATCTTTCTTTATAAATAATCATATCATATCGAATTTTATATTTCTTATTCTTATATAATACAATCCTTATAGGGGTTTCCATCTAAATTATACAATTTAAGATACTTTCTCCATTTCCTTTTTTAGTTTCTTTTCCAATTCACAAGCTTGGGTACATTGCATCGATAATCACTACTATAAGGGAGTGTACTTTTTCAGACAATATGCACTTGCAAATATTTCTATATAAATCATTTTTTTTGCATTCTTCATCTCATTTCATATTTTTGTATAATGAGCTTAAATGCTTAATATGATTTATGGTAAATAATTGAAATATATTAATAAATTCATATCATTCATTTCAACATAAGTAATCGTCTATAATAGAGATAAATTATAAATGAATTTGTAATAACAATAAATTGCTTAAATGCTAATAATAATTAATGCATCAAAGTTAGAAGAAACAAAAATAATAATTTGATGAAATCACAACTCTTATTGCTAATGGTTTTTATTAGATCCTATTGATTCAAGGCATGCTAAAAGAGAACTTCTGGTATGCTTTCCGTAAAGAAATCAACCGCACAATGGAGGCATGCTGGAAAGTGCATACTACACAGTAAACCAATCAATTGTGACCATCTAAATTAACATGGGGATCATTGTATGGACACTCACGCCTACCAATCAACTATGGCCATCCAAAGTAATGTGTGACACACGCAATGTGTGACACATGCAAAATTGAACCAGCAATGTAAAAATGGTGACGAGTAAAGTAAATCTTAAATCCTTTAAAGATAAAATAAAAATTTGTGATATTTTATTAATATGATAATTAATTATTTAATAATTAATTGTGATATTGATATATAAACCCTAAAAAATTTTATTATAATTTATAATTTAAAATTTATAACATATTAACAAAATTACACGCTATTTTTGCTTTGCACCATGCGCCTATGCTTATGGATGACACAAATTACGTACGCTTTTTTGAACACTTGCACAACGCCAAGTAAGTAGTGTTGTACTTGCACCACAGTGCGACATGCGCCATGGAGTCATTTTGCTCCAATGACATGTATGGGGCACTAAGCCCTCTATTAGCCAAAGTTGACTTAACATTATTACATTAGATAGATATTTATCTTAGGTTTAAAGGTCTTTTTGAACAACACACCCACAGCTGCCGACGAAGATCATTTGGTCAGATTGGGTTATTTATCTCCACTAAGTAGGCCTATGTTCATGACATCTTGGGATGACATAACATGATCTTAATCATATTCATCATCATTCCCACACCATTCATTCTAAGCTAATGATAGTACATTTCTCTATCCTAAAAATCAAATCACTTCTATTATCTTAAGCATTTAGTGCATAATAACTAGTTTTAATTAAAAGTTCTCTCTTATTATTGGGAGAGGTTATTAATCATAGGGGCTTGTCCCTATAGGAAACTTAGAACTATTATCATAATTTCCTCCTAAAATGAGGTCAAATTCTCTTGTTAGTATCTTATTTGCAATCTGATTTGCCTTTTGAAGATTTCACCTGAATAGAAACTCTTCTAGAAGAGCTGAGAGTAAATTGTTGGATCCCACGCTTTTTTTGTTTCTTATGTTACTTCTTTTTAGCAAATTGCTAAAATGTTTACCAAGAATTTATGAAGATCTCTCTTTGAAAAAATGATAGGCAAGTTTGGTTTGTTTAATATGTAAATCAGAGGATTGTTCAAATACTCCTGATGGAAAGTTCTAGTTCTCATATTGTCTATCGATCTCCTTTATATGGAAGTAATTGACTCTAATTTTGCTTCTTGTTATTACAAAAATTATTGACTAGAGTTTATTGAGGATGATTTTTTTTCTGTTTACTGTTCTATTATTTCCTAGTATACTAAGATTATTTATTGTACCAGTCTTCCCTACTTACTACTTAAATAATGTTTATTTAGTACTCTGTTCTTTTCTAGTTTCTCGGGTCAATTACAGTAATTGTTCTTCCAATTGCTGTTTCTATCAAGTGTAATAAATATGTGCCTACTGTTTGAGAGAAAATATGGTGAAATGAAATAGATTGCTCTTTCTTTTCTCCTCTTATTCTTTCAATTATTATGTTAGAGCTGTAGGATTAGTAAATTGAAGGTAAGATGTCAAGAAATATACGAACTGTTTTGACCATATGCTCAATAGTTGGTATAAGATGCAGCAATATATCTGATCGAATTTGTTTTCTTTCTGATATATCAATCAAATCTATCTATTTGACAGATAGAATTTAGCAGAAGGGGACTAGCAAGAAAAAAATAGTTCCATCTAATTTAATTACTTCAGGTATCACTAGATGATAATGATGCGAAGATGATTCTTGAAGCTGCCCCATGGGCAAGGCTGTTGTGAAAATGATGAGGGTGAAGATAAAGATGATAGTCAGTATTAGGTTTCATAGCTTAAACATGACTCGTTAAGAAATTATTGTGTACTTCATTGTGTATGTATCTTATTTTGAATAGTTAATATTAATTCAAGAGTTAAAAAATACATGGGATTAGAAAGTGCCGTTTCATTCTATAATTACATAAGTTAGTTCTCTTTGTGCAATCTCAATTCCTGTGCTTTATGTAAGTATGTGGCGCTTAAATTGTACCACATTGTATTTTTTCTCACGTACTGTTTTATTGAGCAGATACATCCTATTATTTTTGCACTTTTTTCTAGAACGATTAATTTGAATTTTGATAGAAAGAAAATCTGGACGATGATCTTGCATAGTATGTGCCCAGAAGCTGCCACTGGATGGTTCAACGAATTATCAGTTGGTACTTTACGGAAAGCCACATGTCACAAAGAAATTTTCATTAGGCGCTTAAAAAACAATTGTCCACTTTGATAAAATTTCCATGTGGCAAATTTGAAGGGTAAATTGGGGAAGACAAGGGTTTACCTCGCATTTCTTTGTAATATATGTAGATATATCGGTAACATGGAAGAATTTTGTTATCCGCATATGACATAATAGCCCTTGAATCGGTCTTTTATCACTTTTCTGATTTTCAATTCTCAAGATATGGCTTGAAGCTTTTTTTATAAAATGCATTAAAAAAATTTTGTCCTTTCATTTCCCATACTTGTTAATCCTTTATTGTTTGTGCGGCTTTTACTAACATATATGGTAGCAAGTCAAGAATGTAGCGAGAAAGATGCTTTTTAGTTCTGAGTTTTAAATGTTTTTGATACTTTCTCTTAGCCAGTTCTTTTTATGTATGATATTGCAGTATATGAATAGCTTGTCATACTTATCCAGTGAGTCATTCTCGTCAATTCCGCCCGAGCTTATTGTCGATATCCAAAGAATGTTGTCCACTAACATGTCTTCAAGGCCTAGCGCATTGGAATTCACTGGTAATTGCCACATTGTCTTGTGTGATTCTATATATTTTTACTGCTATTATATCATTGGATGTGTATTTAATTATGGAATTTACTTCTGCCTTTCATGCTTGATGCTATACCATGATCTTTCATCCTTTTGGGATGTTCTATAATATCGTAGCTTAATGCTGTCACAGTTTCTTCTTTAATGTTTGATGACACTGTTCTTGGTTATGTAGCAATATTTTCTTAGTTTAGCAGTTTAATTCATTGATTTTTTTATATGGTACAATAAGAAAAGTTATTGTTAAATCCCAGTTGCCCTTGGCACTTGATCCCATGGCCAACATGGGGATCCGTGGTAGGCTCACATGGATCACACCGATCTCCTTCCATATTTGTGTGGCTAATTTAGGAAAGATTGTATTAGGGCAATCATGAATTATTTTGTAGTTATTTATTTTTTTATTAAGATATCTTGTATAGAACTATAAATAGGGATAATTTTGTACTATAAAATTAAACCTTTTTTCCTTTTTAATTCCTTAAATTTAACATTGTATCATAGACTAAGGATACATAATTTGTCATGCCTTCATTGCTGGCCTTCCCTTATTATTTCTACTACTTCTATAACCAACGCAGACTTCATTGCTTCTCTGCACTTGCTGGCTTGATTAATGTCTTCATCGCTACCATTTGTCGCCGCAATGTTTGAAGCTAATTTCTCCCAAAGTTTGACCACATGGAGAACTCCATGGTGTACCAACGAAGAGATATTCAAAATATGCAACATTCCTATTACTTAAATGAGAAGAATTATTTGAAGTTATCTCAATTTGTGAAGACCTACTTGGAAGGGAAAGGAAAGATGAATCATCTCCTTTGGTTAGGACCAAAAGAGGGAGATCCTAATTTTTGGGTATGAAATGAAGTGGACTCCATGATTATATTATGATTGTGAAATTTCATGTCCCAAAAAATTAGTGATACTTTTATGTTCTTATCTATTGCCAAGGACATATGGATGTCGCTAGGCAAACTTTCTCAGAAGCTCGGGGTGCTGCTCAAATCTTCGAAATTAAGGTCAATATGAGAAGCACAAAATAAGGAAGCAAGAATGTGACTAAATATGCCACTTTTCTTCATGACTTGTGGCAAAAACTTGATCATTATAGATGCATAGAGATCAAATTTCTAGAATATGTTGCTATCCTGAAAAACTTTATTGAGAATGATAGAGTGTATGACTTTCTTGCAGGATTAAATGCAAAGTTTATCAGGTTAGAGTTTAGATCCTTGGTAAAGAGGTGACACCTTCATTAAATGAGACCATTTCTCACATTTGTGTTGGGGAAAGCTGACAAGGGGTAACGTTGAAATCAAAGCCTCTTGAAGATTCAGTAATAGTGACAACTAAAGAGGCACCATTGAAGGAAAGAAGTAAGGATTCCTCAAAATCTAAAAAGAATAAAAACTCCCTTTGGTGTAGTTATTATAAGAAATCATGACACACAAAGGAGACCTACTAGAAGTTATAGGAAAAGCTCTCAAATAAGGAGTGGAATCAAAGAAGTGGACAAAAAGGGGATATCACATGCTAACACTATAACAAGTCAGCCCAACCCAAAAACATAGTCCAACTTTAAAGAGCTCAACAAAGAAGATATTGAGAAACTAAAATAAGTCATGGTATCCTTTAAAAGATTACATGTATCTTCTTTTCTTACCCTTTCAGGTAAGTTTTCTATATCCTTTGGATTAACTGCCTCTAAAAATCATTTGAAAGGTTTATGGTTCATTGATTCAGCATCCACATATCACATGACACACTCCATTGCCCACTTCATCAATTGCACTCCGTGCCCGACTAATAAAAAAATCGTTATTGTTGATGGTTTTCTTACCATAGTAGCTGGCTAAGAAGATATACCCTTATCTTCCTCTCTCACTCTTAAAAATGTGCTCTACATGCCTCAATTATCTACAAACCTAATCTCCATACAAAAATTTATCTGTGACTATAAGTGCCAAGTCATATTTTATCCTTCTTGTTTTTTAGGATAGGGATCGGGGAAGAAGATTAGACTTGTTAAGGGGAAAGATGAATTGTATTATCTGGAAGAGCTGAACACATAGACTATTATCAATAATAGCTATTATATATTATCTATATCTAATATAAATCTAATTTTTAGCTTCATCATTTTACACTAGGACATTCATCTTCTTGTCCTATATTATCTCTATATTCAAAAAAATTTTATGAGTTGAAAATTTGATCCTTTCATTGTGAAACCTGTGAGTCAGCCAAGCATAAATGTGTTTTTTTCCAAACAAAAATGAGGGATGTCATATTTCCTTTTACCTTATTCAAAGTGATATCTGGGAATCGTAAAAAATCTCAAACATACGAGGGGCCAGATGGTTTGTATCCTTCATTGACAACTATATTCAGTCTCTTAGATCTTTCTCCTCAAAACTAAATTCGATGTTAGCATTATCCTATCCATTTTTCACACCATGATCCAGAGCCAATTCAGGATAAAAATAAAAAAATTCCATCCAACAATGCCAAAGATTATTTTATTCAAACCTTATCCTTATATTTTCAAAAGGAAGGTATCATTCATGAGTCTTCTTGCATTAACACCCCATAACAAATGGAGTTGGATAAAGGAAAAATGACCACCTTTTACCTCCACCCGTGCACTTCTATTCCACCACATTGTATCTAAATCCTACTAAAGGGAAGCCCTTATAACTGTCACATATCTCATAAACCGACTACATTCAAAAATCTTGGGACTAAAAATACCAATAAATATTCTGTCCTCATTTTACCCCGAAGTCCGAAACCATAACAATCTCGCATCCATAATTTCAGGGGGAGATTGAAACTGAGGAAGATGAGGAAAGTGAACTTGCCTCCCTTGACCTTTTTGCTCCATCTCAAGTTGATCCTCCTAAACGTGAAATTAAAGCTATAGAAATTGAGGAGAAAGCTATTATGGATAACATGATATTTGGAAAGGTATATTCTAGGCGTACTAATCCAAATTATGCTTTAGAGAAAATTTAAGAATAAGAATCATCTCCTAAAATTGAGATAAACACAAGTTCACCTAAAAACTTTCCATGTATCCCATAACTAACTTTGTATCTTTCCATAATTTCTCACATTCACACAAATTTTCTTATTACACTAAATAATATTCATATTCCTATTAATAATTTTGAGGCCTTATTTGATAAGAATTGAAAAAATACTATGAAAGAAGCAATGCAGGCGCTAGAGAAAAATAATACTTTAGAGATCATCGACCTACCAATAGGAAAAAGACCAGTTGGCTGCAAATGAGTGTTCTCTGTGAATTACAAAGTCGATGGTATACTAGAAAGGTATTAGACAACCCTGGTAGCAAAAGGGTACAGTTAGACGTATGAAATTGACTACTATGAAATTTTTGCACCTGTGGCCACAATGAATATCATGAGGATCCTGCTCTCACTAACAGCTAATTATTTCTGGCATCTAAAATAGCTGGATGTCAAAAATGCATTTCTATATGGGGACTTGGAGAAAGAAATATTTATAGATATTCCACTAAGATTCAAGGAGAATTTTGGGGTGACAAGTAAGTTAAAAAAGACTCTATATGGGGCTAAAGCAATTACTTAAGAGCTTGGTTTGGAAAAATTTCAAAATTCATGCTACTCAATAGATATTGACAAAGCTAAGGGGATCATATACTCTTCTTCAAGCACTTAAACTCACGATGAGTCACAATTTTGTTTGTTTATTTGGATGATATCATCTTGATTGGGAATAATAAAAAGGAAAGAGTGATTCTAAGGAAATATCTTACCAAGGAATATGAGATAAAAAACTTAGTAATTTGAAATATTTTCTTGAAATTGAAGTGACCCACTATAGCAAAGAAATCTTCATTTTTCAACAAAAATATATTCCTGATTTTCTTAAAGAAACATGTAAATTAGCTTGTGAACTGGCACCAACAGCAGTAGAATCAAATCTCAAATTGGTGGAAGCTAATCTGATACCTGAAGATTCAACATATGATTCTATCTATTCGAACCTGATTTGAAAAAAGGTAAGATTTGAGCTTATGAATTTTTAACACATTTGCTTATCCTTAAGAGTGTTTTAATGCATAAAAATGATTATAAGTGGTCTAGAATGAGTCCTAAGTGTTTGATGTTAATTTCAACAAAATCTGAAATGCCATTATAAGAGCATCTCGGTGCTGGGTGTTCGAGCGCCCCAGCGTTGCTACAGTACCAGACACCAAATAATGACATTGCAACGCTTCAGGCTCTAAAATTTGATTTCTAAACTAGAGTTGTAGAGCTCGGATTGAGCGTCGGAGCGCAAGGCTATTATGAGCACTTTAAGTATATTTTAAAAGCACTATTCCATTGCCATTTGTTCGATCACAGCAGCTGCATAGTGGGACATAGAGAGGGTTTTGGAGGCTTTCTAGATAATGAAACTCTGTTTTTAGCCATCGGGTTAGTTGTGAAAGTGGTCCGAATCAAGGTAGGACATTATGCTTATCTCAATTTTAAAAAAAATGAAGTCTTTTAAAAATTTTCTGATTAAATTTATAAAATTTTTTTACTTAAAAATGTGGTTAACTTTGTAACGATAAATTTCACCGTATAACTTTTTATATGTTATAAAGATTAAGATTATGAATATTTTCTGAAAATTTTATATCGAGTATTCTAGAATTTGTTCGATTTTAATTGAACAAAAAATAATATGGACACTGTAAAATATTATTGTATTATAGTGAATATCTTAGAATGATATTTTATACAATCCTTAATAATTTGATTATGTTTTGAAATTGATAAATTTTGCTTAGTAAGAATTTTTGTTACCTACCATTATAGAAAATTATGTAATTCTAACACCTACTCAACTATGCTTTAACTACTATATTATGATAAATATGTGTATATGTGACTGAATTATGATTGCTGGGAGATATAAGGGCCTGAAT